TTTTCAATCCGCTAGCGATTTGGACCCTAACCGCTATCCGTTAATTTCAAACCGCTAAATAAAAATTTTACCAAACACTTTAGTTGTAACGGTTTCAAAATATATAAATTTACCAAACACCTATATTTAGCGGTTTAGGTAAAACCACTAACCGCTACCCCAAAACCGCTATACCAAACGGGGCCTTAATATCATTTTAAAAACTAATTACATTTCTACTAATAATTTATTAATTTGAATAGAAGAAACTTGGTTTTCTTTTCAAATCTTAAGTTTAAGTTTTGTGAATAAAAAATAAGTTTTTGAATTTAAATTTTGTAAATGAAAAAGTAGACATTGAAAAAAGTTTCTCTCTATATCAGATCCAATGTAACTAACTTCAAATTAATCAAAATTTAATATAACTTATAAATATTGGGGGGTTAATAAAAAAAATAATTAATAATATTTCTTACTTTACATTGGTTAATCAAAAAAGGTTAAAATCAAGATATCTTGATATTTTTAATGTCTATACATTTAATTTTAAACATGATTTAAGATCTATATTATATTTCAATCATCATGTAATTTAATTAGACATTATAATATTTTTAGTTTTAAAACGTCCTAATTTTCCACATCCTCTTAGTTAATTCCTTTCTATTTAGTAAAAAATAATTTTTGAGAATTTATTGACAGGTATTTTATAGAGAGAGTGATGTTTTTGCATTTGGTGTGATGCTCTTAAGTTTAATTATTAAGGAAGTATTTGTAGCAAGAGATCACATTGATAAAACGGGGTAGATGAATATGATGATGTGCGGCTTCATGGTGTGGGGTCTCTTAATGAATGGGCAGCGGAAGAGTATGGCAAACGTGTGGTAGAATGTGGAAAAGGAAATGTGTCCTTGGTGCATCAAAGCTTTCAGGATGATCAGGATTTTGAATTGGCTGATGGACCTAAAATCATAGACGTGGTAATGGATTGTTTGATTGATGATCTGCCTGAGCGTCCGTACATCGACGAAGTTATTGATCTTTTGGATGCATTATTGGTTGTGAAGAGAAATCCAGATACCTTTTGTATTGGTACAAATCGAGGCCACAAACCAAGTCACGACGAGACCTCAGAAGTGGAGATAAAATGATGACCAAAACAAAAATTCAATTTGAAGCACATTGACTTTTAATTATAATTTAATCGTATTTAAGTATCGAGATTAGAAAGGAGTCATGTATTTTTCGAATTAAATTCATGAAGTTGACTTATTGAAGAGTGAGATTATTTATAAGTATTTAAACAGGATTTTCCTTTTTGATAATTTATACTACAAAATAAGTTTTATTGAATAAGGAGACTTGGCCTTTATATAATAGTTTAATGTTGCACTACACTTGTTTTCCTTTATAATGTTCTTTATTTGAGTTTTTTTTTAGATTATTTTAATTTTATGAAGATGATTTTTTTTAATTATTTGAAGAATTGTAACATTTATCACATTTTATTTTAACTTTTTGTTTTGACAATTCTCATTTATAACAAAAATCATAATTATTAACACGTTTTTATAATTTATAAAGTTTATTGTAAATTATTTTACTAACTAAAATTACTCTATTTTAATTTTAGTTTAATTTTTCTGTTATTTTATTATTAAAACTAATGAAAATTCTATATAATAAACTATTTTGAAATATTTTACAAAATTTATAAATCATTCAAAAAAACTAACTTTTTATATTAAAATAAAATTAAAATAATAATTAATAAATTAATCATTAAATTAAGCCCTTGGTTAAGGGCCAGGCCGCTAGGGCTTTTGAAAAAGAAGCCTTTTGGATTTTTATTTTACATGGAAATAAATGAAACATTTCGAGCGTACTTGAGCCTTGTCTTGAAGGAGATGAAAAGATAAGAGGCCCATGTGATGCGATGACTTGGACTTTCAAATCATAAATATATTTATGATATTGGGCTCCATGAATTGGACCTTTCATAATAACTTAATCGAAACGATGCCGTTAGCCGTGTTTTTATGGACATAGAAACGGGCTCTCTCGGCGGCAAATCTTACCCAACTCAAAAACGTGTGCACTTCCGTATTTTTCGCCTGTATAAATAACTCAAAATTCGCTCTTAGTCCCGTTCGCTCTTCATTCACGATGGAATCTCTCAGTCTCAGACCATCTCCTCTATCTTGCTGCTACGCCGGAATCTCTCCGATCATCTCCTCAGTCTTGCTGCCGCACCTGAATTTCTCTGATCATTTATCCGTCACGCGCTCTCTTTTACCGGTAAGCTCCTCGCGATTTTCATTTGTTCTCCGTTTTTGTGATCTTTGCTTCTATTTTATACAGGAACGGATTGAATTTTCATTTTTCAACTTGAAAAATAGCTCTAAATCGGCCAATTTCACTCTCCTCCGATCTCTCTTCTCCGCGCAGGAATCTCCCCAATTATCTCCTCCGACTCACTACGGCACTGGAGTCTCGTCAATCATATCCTCCTTATTGCTCTGTCTTCTCCGGTAAGCTCCTCTTGATTTTCATACTTTCAATTTTTAAGATCTGCGCTTGTATTTCTTCCAAGAAAAGATTGAAATGACTAGCATTTTAAACTTCCTGAGCAGAACGAGTTATTTACCGTTCTTAATTCCGTTCGCTGTTGAGTTTTCTCGTTCTTTATTATTTAATTACAATTAAATTACAGAAAAATAGTAGTATTATTTTGTTAACTACTGATGAGCATTAACACATCATTTCGATTATTAATCAAATGCTCAGTTTTTTTTCAAAACTAGAATGCTCTGTTTTGTAATTAATAAACCTGGCTTTATACAAAATATAATGAGTTTATTAATTTATTAAGGCTTCATTTAGTATACTCGTTATTTGAAGTTTTTTATTTTGACTTTTATAATTTTACAACTAATGAAAATCAAAATTGAAAATTAAAAAGTTAAAAATTCGTTTAAAATATTTTTTAATATTAATAGTTAAAAATATATATTTATTTAATTTAATAGTAATAAAATTATATTTGTTTTTATATTTTAATAATTATAATAATATGTTACAAAAATACATGAAAGTAAACAAATTTTTTATTTTGAGTTATAAAATTTATAAAAATCAAAATAAAAAACTCAAAATCACAATCATGTTAAAAAAAAGAGATTAAATAAATGATTTTCATTATTTTTAATTCAACAAGTATATGTTAATAAATTAATTCAATAAATTAGACTAAATAAACTGAAAATGATTTTCGTTGTTTTTAATTCAACAAGTATATTATTATACTATTAACCAGAGATGCGGAATCAATTCATGAGATTGGGTTGCTCATACTAGTCCAAGTCAATATTTTGGGCCATCACTTTTTCTTGATATTAATCTTGGGCCTTAAGTCTACTAATTAATTTCATTTTTATTTTTATTTTATAGGATTCCCATCCCATGACAAGCTTTCGGGTGGCTAAGGTTTGGAACTTTGGATTATGTTCCGGTTGTTATGGGGCATCCGAGACATGGCCGAGGTCGATAGACAGATGAGAATCCTTTTTCTTGATCAGCATCGTATGAGATGTCAGTTGTTTTTCCCAAACGGTACTCCAGTAGATGTTGACATTGCTGGATATACGTTAGATGAAGATCTTCCAGTTGGAATGGGTTAAGGTATACAAAATATATGTGTCAAAAAAAAAACATGAGAGAGAGAGGTAGAGCGAGAGAGAGAGAGGAGATGATCGCCGGGGCCGGGAAAGAAGGTCGGTACAGAGTATTGAGCATGCAAGATCCAGTAGAAGAGTTCAGCAGAGAGGGGCCGAATCAGGGGATCAGAGGAGATCAGTCTATGTCCAAGATCAACAACAGAAGCAGAGGATAGGAGAGAAATTTAACTGGGGATTGTTCAAACAAGCCACACCTTATTTCTTCACAAACTTCCCAGAAGAATGGTGTTATGCAGATATGTGGGGAACTTTTTTGAAGTATGGAAGAGTGTTTGACATTTACTATCCAAACAGGAAAAGCAGGAACGGAGGAAGGTTCGGCTTTGTAAGGTTCTTGGATGTGAAGGACAAGAGGGAGCTGGAAAGACAACTGGACCAAATCTGGGTAGGAGACCGAAAATTGTGGGTAAACTACCCACGTTATGAAAATTCCCAGAATCAGAAACAGGGAGGGGATCTCAGAGTCAACCAAGGAGCACACCTAAGATCGCAGAACAGAAGCTATGCGGAAGTAGTAAAGGGTCAACTAGAAGAAAAGAAAGAAGAGAAGACAAGACCTCTGCTGCAGAACAATCATAGTTGGGCCGGGAAGAATAGTAGCAGAGGATCTCATCTGGATGGCACCAACGGTAACAGGAAAATCTGGAAAGAAAAAGGAGTGGGAGAAAATTGGTCCGGAATAGAATTCAACACCAACCCAAAAGATGAAAAATGGCTTGAAGGTTGCTATGTGGGGATTGCTCACTCTATTGAAATGGTCCGGAACTTACAGGAAAAATTTTACATGGAAGGATATTTTTGGTGCCGCCTCAGAGCAATGGGAGGTAAATTGGTGTTACTTGACAGCGATGATAAAGAAGAATTGAAGGACTTGGTGGAGTTGGCTCCGGAGTGGCTTGCTCAATGGTTCGAAAATGTTAAACCGTGGACTCCAGACATGGTCGCTACAGAGAGATTCGCATGGATTAGATGCCAAGGGGTTCCTCTCAACGCATGGAAATCAGATTTCTTTGAAAAAATGAGCTGGCCTTGGGGGAAATTTATTTGCTTGGACGACAGCACAAGCAAAAAAAGAAGGTTTGATATTGCGAGATTCTTGATCTCGACTCCGAGCATGAATTCCATATCAATTACGAGACAAGTGAAAGTTAATGGCTCTCTGTTCAACATCAAATTCTCGGAGGAAGAGTTCACAAATAATTTTTTCTCCTTGAAAGAAGACTTTATGCCGAACTTCCAAAGTGATTCTGAAGAGCCCGAATCATGGTCTGTTGACAGTGAAGAGGAAGAAGAAATTCAGGAGGCTTTAGCAGAGGAAGAACAGCCAAACGAAGAAGACGGTGAAACAGCACCTGAAGAAAATGACGTGGCGAGGCTCAACGGTCAAATTAGGAAAATAGATGAACAGCAGAATGAAATGACGGCACAAGAGGGGATTGATAGCAGTGTCCAAATTCAAAATTTGAATGAAGATGAGGCAAGTTCAGGGCCAGAGATGATGACGCAAATGCTTGGGAAAGATGCAGAGGTAGATGTGGCTGACGAAGTAATAGAAACTCAATTGGGCCAGTGCGAGCAGGTCATTCCAAAGCAACAGAGGAAGCCCATCATGGTTGGCGAAAGCCCAGATTATGAGATGTCTTCAAACACGGGCCAGCCGAACATTATAGCTCAAGATCCAGCTAATAACCCAAAACATGGAAAAAGCAATATTACCTCCAGAACTAGTCAACTGAAGTCTGGAAGCAGCGATGGTGAAGAAACAGATCTATTCTGGAAAGGGCATGAGATTGATGAGGCTAGGCTGCAGAAATGGATGAAAGACGGATCGGAGACAAAACCAAAGAAGAGAAAGAAGAAAATCTGCTTGTGTAGCACGGTGTACAGAAATTCAGCAGTCCCTGGTAGAAGAAGACAGAGGACGGGAGGAAGAGGAAATACCAGCAAGATGCAAACGGAAGGGAGATCAGAACCAGTGTTTATTGCAAGCCCAAATGACGAAATTGCAGATGACTCAATTGGGGATAGTGGGATCCAGAATTGCAACAAATTATTGCAGAAACAAATGAGAAATCAACTCGCAAAGGAGATCTGGGAGTTGGCAAAGCAATTAGGGGTCACGGCTGAGAATGAGGAAGAGACCATGAGGCGGATAGAAGATATGGAGAGAAGAGATAAGCAATCAAAGGCAAGCTCGGTGATCCAAGAAGCGGGTGACGCTGAGAAGGTTAGAAATTCTGTTAATGATTTTGCTCTCTTTTAATATTAGGGGGCTTGGTGGGGTTGGAAAAAAAAGACAAATCAGGGAGACCATTAGAAAAGAACGGGTGGATTTTTTATCTATTCAAGAAACAAAAAAACAGTTTATTGATAGGAGATTATGCAGAAGAATATGGGGTTCAGAGGAGTTCGAATGGATTTACAAACCGTCAAAAGGCATGTCTGGAGGTCTTCTCTGTATTTGGAGTTCACATTTGTTTGAAAAAAAAGAGGTGTTGGAGGGAGATAACTATATAGGGGTGTTTGGATTATGGGGAGAAGATAAAACTCCCGTGAATATAGTCAATGTTTACTCATCCTGTTCTCTGGCGGGTAAAAGGGCACTGTGGGAGGATTTATTGAATCTGATTAATAGCAGGAAAGGGAATTGGTGTGTGGGGGGAGATTTTAATGCGGTTAGAAGTGTGGAGGAGAGAGCAGGAAGTAATGGGGTATCCAAAGAAATGGAGGAATTCGACAGGTTCATCCATGATGCTGGATTAGTGGATCTGCCATTGACAGGGAGGAAATATACCTGGTTCAACTCCAATGGATTACACATGAGCAGGATTGACAGATTTTTATTCTCGGAGGAATGGCTTATGAATTGGGGTGACTTAAGGCAATGGGGTTTAAAGAGAACAGTGTCTGACCACTGCCCCATACTAATTAAGGAAGAGAAGATTGATTGGGGGCCCAAACCATTTAAGTTCTTCGATGCTTGGCTGGATCAGCCAGGGTGTGTGGAGATGATTCGAAAGGTGTGGAATACTGCTGAGATTAAGGGATGGAAGGGATATAGGCTTAAAGAGAAACTAAAGATAACAAAGAAAGCTCTAAAGGAATGGAGTGGTAACTCTATGCCAGAAATAGATAAAAAAATAGATGAAGCCGAGCTGGAGATAGCTGCCCTGGATAGCAAAGGTGAGAATTCCCATCTGTCGTCAGAGGAGGTGAATAGAAGAAGACACTGCTTTCTTCAACTTTGGGATAATCTCAAAATTAAAGAGAGCATGTGGCAACAAAAATCAAGAAAGATGTGGCTTAAAGAAGGAGACGCCAACACCAAATTTTTCCATAGATGTGTGAAGATCAGATGGAAAAAAAATGAAATTAATAGTGTCCAGATTAAGGGCAAAAGGTGTGTTGGAGTGACTGAAATAAGAGAACAGGTTGCTCAGTATTTTGAAGAGTTGTTTGCAGAAGAAAAATGGCAAAGACCAAAACTTGACGGCATTAACTTCAAAAAAATCTCCGAGGAAGACAATACCCTTCTAACAGCTCCGTTCAACGAAGAGGAAATTAGGAGTGCAGTGTGGGATTGTGACTCCTCAAAATCACCTGGTCCAGATGGGTTCAACTTTAAGTTCATTAAGACCATGTGGGAGGATTTGAAAACAGATATAGTTGGGTTTATCCAGGAATTCCATGAGCAGGGAAGACTGGTTAAAGGATCAAACTCCTCATTCATTGTGCTGATCCCAAAAGTAGAGAACCCTCAAAGAATTGAAGAGTTCAGACCCATTTCTCTAATCGGAGTCATGTACAAGATTGTAGCAAAATTGTTAGCAAACCGTCTTCGAAGAGTGCTGGGCAGGGTGATTGGGGAACAGCAAATGGCCTTCATTGAAGGGAGGCAATTGATGGATGGAGTTGTCATAGCTAATGAGGTAATAGATGAGGCGAAAAAGAAAAAGATGAAAAGCTTTTTATTCAAAGTAGATTTCGAAAAAGCTTTTGACAAGGTGTGCTGGGATTTCATTGATTACATGCTGTCCAGAATGGGTTTTAATGTCATGTGGAGGGGATGGATCCAAGAATGCTTACGATCAAGTATGATCTCAGTCCTTATCAACGGAAGCCCGACAAGACAATTTCCCGTAGGCAAAGGAATAAGACAAGGTGACCCGCTATCCCCTTTCTTGTTCCTAATTGTGGCGGAAGGTCTTAATGGCCTAATGTCTACTGCGGTTGAGAAGGAGTTGTACAAGGGAGTGATGATTGGCAATGGAGCAACAATGGTGACCCACCTACAATTTGCAGACGATACTATCTTCTTCGGAGAGGCAACCGAAGACAACATAAGGGTGATTAAAAGCATCATGAGAATCTTTGAAATGGCGTCAGGATTGAAAATCAACTTCGGAAAGAGCCAACTAATGGGCGTGGAAGTTGACTCTGATTGGAAAGTCAGAATGGCTTGCATTTTATACTGCAAAGAAGGAAAACTTCCATTCAAATACTTGGGAGTCCCGGTTGGGGGGAATCATAGAAGATTAGCAATGTGGCAGCCTCTGCTAACATCTTTTAGAAAGAAGCTTTCTAGCTGGAAAGGAAAACATCTCTCTATCGGAGGCCGGATCATGCTCATAAATTCTGTACTGTCCAGTCTGCCCGTTTTCCTGATGTCAATATACAAAATCCCCACAGGTATTCTCAAATCCATTGATAAAATTCGCAGGAACTTTTTATGGGGGGGAGAAGGAGAGGGTAGGAAAATAAATTGGGTGAGTTGGGAGAGGGTCTGTAAAAAGAAAGAGTGGGGCGGCTTAGGGGTGAAGGACATGAGGAGATTTAATTTAGCTCTCATGGGAAAATGGTGGGGTCGTCTCGCATCCAAGGATGAGGGGTTGTGGAGAAGGGTAATTGAAGGAAAATATAGTGAGGGAAGAGGTAATTGGATGGATTGGGTAAGAGATGGTAGAGGAATGGGTTCTCTATGGTGGAGGGACGTGTGCAACCTCAATAATAGAGATGGAGAGAATGTAGGATGGCTTGAAGAGGGTTTTAGATTAAGGATAGGAGAAGGTAAAAGAGTGAGTTTTTGGTGGGATGATTGGTGTGGGGAGGGCTGTCTTGCTAACTTTTTTCCTAGACTATACCTTCTGTCAACAGGAAAAGACAAAGAATGTTACCAAATGGGTAATACTCAAGATGGTTCATGGCAATGGAATCTTACATGGAGAAGAACCTTGTTTGAGTGGGAAAAAGAAGAGTCTATGAAACTGCAGGGGATAATTGACAATGTGAAGATCACACCTGGATGCCCTGACAAATGGCAATGGATCCACAGCAGTGATGGTCACTACTCAACAAAATTGGCTTATTTGATATTAACAAAAGAAAAATCCGGATCGATGGAGGCAAAAATGTCAAAGAAAATCTGGAATCCCATGCTCCCAACCAAGATAGCTGCCTTCAATTGGAGAGTAATTCTGGACAGAATCCCTACCAAAATTAATCTTCATAACAGAGGAGTTATCAAGAACATGGAAGAGGCAAAATGCAGCATATGTGGGGAGTATGAGGACGCCACCCATTTATTCCTAAATTGCAAATTAAGCAAATGGCTTTGGAAATCTTGCAGTAGATGGTGGGGGACCACGGTAGCTTTGAAGGAAGACTGCTGCAGCACCTTTGATCAATTCGGGAATGAGTTTAAAGACCCACACATTGCAGAAGGCTGGGATTGCATCTGGAATTCTGTCATTTGGACTATATGGATGGCTAGGAATCGCAAAATTTTCCAGGAATCAGAAATTAATAGGGATCAGCTGCTAGATTTTATTCAACTGAGATCATTTGCATGGATTAAGGCAAAAAAACCCAGGTGCTACTTTTCTCTTTCAGATTGGTTAATTAATCCTTCAGCATGTTTGTCTAGCAATAGGGGAGGGTTTAATTGAAAAATGATCTAAAAGAGGGAACTATCATTGGATTATGTTGCTTGTATAACTTTATGGGTTGAGTACCCCTTGTACTCATTTTGAGTATATACATTTTCTTTGCTGTTCAAAAAAAAAAAAAAATAGGCATTGGAAAGGCTGTTACATTCATTGTCGGTTCCCTTGTCAGTTGGCGCACCTTGGCTCTAATAGGTTACTTATTTTGCTCTTCCATTATTATGATCAGTAAATTTTAAAGGGAGGTCCATAAACAGAGGAAAATTAATTTCATTTTCAGGAATTATGCCATGTCTCCTACAGCTGCTAGGGCTAGCTTTCATTCCAGAATCTCCCAGATGGTTGGTAAGGACAATATTGAACATTCCTTTTCTTTCTTTTTTACTCTTATTTTTTGGGATATTCAACAACACCACTTAGCCAAGGTCTAGTCGGGGTAAAACTAGATGTTGTGTTAAAAGAATAAGTGGTATAAAATTTTGATTAATTCTTATTAGGTTTTTTTAACTGTATTTTAACGGTACAAGTTAAGATTGCCTTTTTATTGTAAATGTGTATTGAAAAATATTTAATGGTTTAACATTAATTTTAGCATCATTGTCAAATAAATAAATCTAATTAGATAATTGATAAATTAAAGTTAATTTTTGTTTTTTCAACATAAATTTTGACATATATATATATATATACATATATCACACTTTTAACCTTACCTTAAGGGTAAAAGGTAGGAAAACTCATTCTTATTTTTCCAGATTCAATGAGCCAAAAACAAGTTTCAGACCCGATTTTATGCTTACTTAATAAGGTTATATTACTGTCTGTAGGCCAAAACCGGTCGAATGGAAGAGTTTGAAGCTACTCTGCAGCAACTAAGGGGCAGGCATGCTGATATTTCTCAAGAGGCAGAGGATATCAAAGTAAAGTTTTAGGTTTTCTCATGAATGCACAATCATTGTTCATGAATTTTTCTTGCATTGGAAACTATAAGGTGAGACGGTTTTTGTTATGTGAACAGGAATACACAGAATATCTTCAGAGGATTTCAAATGATGGAATTCGAAACTTGTTCCAACAGAAATATGTTTATTCAGTCATTGTAAGTCTATAGAAAGATATTGGAAAATTATTGGTAATCTTTTAGTTTGACACATTTTTAATTATTGGAAATTTATTCGGTTTAATTATTAAAATAATAATGCAATGTGTGAAACTAAAAGGTGTACGAACCAATGTCCAAAGACATTAGATCCTAGCCAGCTCTCCATTATATATACTGTTTATTTGGTCAATCGGCGCTCTTGTTATATAGGTTGGCGTTGGGCTGATGGTTTTCCAACAATTTGGAGGACTCAGTGCTTTTTCCTTTTATGCAACTATGATTTTTGAATCAGCTGGTAAATTAATCAACTACTGTAATATCCTCATTTAATCAGCTAAAGGTAGACAGAAATGTGGATTGATGGTACTAATATTCAACTACCATTCATGGTTTTGCTAGGTTTTCCAAGCAAGGCTGGTACTATTGCAGCAGCTGTTGTACAGGTTATTTCTTATAGCTACGCGCACAATTCCAACCTTCTTTTTTATTTTTGGTAATTTTTATTAAAAAAAATTATTAATACACCTTTTGGTTTAGTTATTAAAAC